GCCAGAGACACATCATGCATTATGTACATGGCACTCAATGCAAAATGGAATAAAACACCTTGGCAATTTGATGAAAGGGGGAAGTCATTTTTTAAGAGATTTGAAAAGATGCATGTATGACTTTGATAGTTCAATTGACTTTGAGGAGGCTTGGACAAAGTTCATTACAGAATACAATGTTGAACAAAATACTTGGATTACTTCACTGTATTCCATAAAGGAGAAATGGGCATCATGTTATCTAAAAGATTGTTTAACCCTTGGAATGCGAAGTACTCAGCTAAGTGAAAGCTTAAATTCTGATTTCAAAGCATGTATGAAGCCTGGTGTTGACATCAAACAATTCTTTGCTCACTTTGAACGAGTTGTTGAAGACAAGCGTTACAACGAGCTTAAGTGTGAGTATTACTCTCGTCATAAGTTAGCCATGTTGTGACATGAGATGTCACCAATCCTAATACAAATGACCAAGGTTTACACACATACAGTATATAATTTATTTCAACAAGAGTTTGCTCAATTTTTGGCATGTTGCATATCATTAAGGATTGAAACTCCTCCTTTGATTGAATATGTAATCACTAAAGTCAATCAACAAAGGTCATGGACAATTACATTTGATAGTTCCTCAACTACTATCAATTGCTCTTGTAAAAAGTTTGAAACAATGGGCATACTTTGCTGTCATGCTTTGAAAGTATTTGAAGTCAATGATGTAAAGCCTATTCCTGACAAATACATTCTAAAGAGATGGACAAAAGAAGGCCGTCGTGGAATTATTCACAATGTAAAAGGCATACAAGTGGAAGAAGATCATATACTTTCTACTACACGAAAATACCGACAACTAGCATATAAAATGATTAGGTTGGCCTCTGAGGTTTCTAGTTCAGAAGAATATTGTCAATCAGTGGATGACAGTATTAACACTTTAGTGGGCCACATTGCAAAGCTTCGCTTACAAACACAAGATAATGACAAGAATAGGAATGATGGTGTAAATAACATCACCAATCAGGGTACACAACCTAAGGGATTCAAGCAACGACCAACCATTAAGAGGAAAGGGTCTAAAAGATTCAAAGGTTGGGTTGAATTACAAGCAAAAAGAAAGAAGAACAAAACTCTAACTTTAGGTCAATCAGCATCTCAGGTACTTTCTTATGATTACTTTAATTATCAATTAATCCATTTATTTTAACTTCCTTATTATAACAAATGCTTTAATTATCAACTATCATTGAATGTTTTAGGAATATCAACCAATGCTTTCGGATTCATTTGAAGTACATTGTTCGGCGCCTCCATGTTATGATCCTCCTCAAACATTAGTCAATCAATTCAGTTTTACGGATTTGTTAACAGTAAGACTACCAACTTAAATCAAACCAAATATCATGAATTTTTTTTCCATCCATTATTGTTTGTAATGTCTCTTCTTATTTTGTAGGGACAACTTCATGATACCAATACTTCAATCCTTGATCAAATTTGATTATGCAATTACCAAAACTTATTTTGTTTCTAAGCTAAATATGTATTTATCAAATTGCATAATCAAATTTATATGTAATCAAGTGTATTTTGGCCCCCTTAATTGCTGTCTGTATTAGGATTAGGTTGGATTTTTTGTACCTTTCGCTTAAGCCATCCAATTTCGCCCAAGCTCCTATATATTTCGCTTAAGCGATTATATCAGCATGTGCAGGTAAATGTAATTTCTGATAAATTCGCTTAAGCTGATAAAAATCGCTTAAGCTAAAAAATGTTCGCTGCATTTGTAAAAGTCTAGCTTAAGCCCTACCACAATTAGCTTAAGCTATTTAAATTTCGCTCAAGCTAATTACACTGCCTGAAACATGTGCTCTCTGTTTTACATTCGCTTGATAACAATTAAATTCGCTAGTCGTGGCTTGAGCGAGGAGAAAATAGCTTAAGCTATTAACAATTAGCTTAAGCGAAATAGGTGACTGAAAGCTTAAGCGAAATAGGTGACTGAAAAACATGACTCTCTGGTTTGTTTTCGCTTCAAATATTTCTTTTTCGCTTACGAGGGGCTTAAGCGATTTTAAATTAGCTTAAGCTATTAACAATTAGCTTAAGCGAAATAGGTGACTGAAAAACATGGCTCTCTAGTCCATTTTCGCTTCAAATTTTTCTTTTTCGCTTACGAGGGGCTTAAGCGATTTTAAATTAGCTTAAGCGAAATAGGTGACCGAAAAACATGGCTCTCTGGTCTATTTTCACTTCAAATCTTTCTTTTTCGCTTGGGAGGGCTTAAGCTATTTAGAATTCGCTTAAGCCTGATATAGTCGCTTAAGCGAATTTCGCTTAAAAGTCTGTTCTTGCCCGCTTAGGCACATTTCTGCATGTTTAAGCCCTTTACTTGGTCGCTTAAGCGAGAGGAAAACTGCAGCCTGCAGTTTCCGCCAGAACTGCAAGCGATCTGGATCCGCTAATGTTAACCGAGCAATCAAGTACGGGACCAAAATTTACCTTTTTTTGTCTGTTGTCTTGTAGCAAAATCGTTTGGCAAGATTAGACTCAGCATGTGTATGAAAATAAACTTCACATTTGCAGAGATAATAAAGTTTTTGGAAGTACTAGTCATTTTTTTAAAAATAAAATTATCGAGATAATTTGAAAATAATACTAACTTATTCTGAAATTTTAGTTTTTCCTTGATTCACTGGGTTTGTATATCACCTAGGAGATGTTTTAATTATTTTTTCAAAATAAAGCAAGATGCCATTTTTTCTTCTTTGTCTCGAAGTAAGATAAAAAAAAGGGATATTCTTCAAGAGTAGCTTTTGTTAACACCAATATTATACAATAAAATTTTTAAAATTTATTAGTTAAATTTATTTGACAATCTATCCCACATTCAACTATCTAAGTTACTTTGATCTGCCTAAATAATATATTCTTTACTAATTTTTTTTTATCTACATTTCTCTATGTTGTCATGTTCTTTTCTATGCCTTTTAATTTTCATACTAAATGCTTTAAAACAGCTTACCAAAACACTGATTTGAATCGACTTAAGTCAATTTCTTTGGAATTTCATGTTGCTCCGCAAGAGTTTTGATTGATAGTATAAACATAGATGTTAATGCAACATAAACCTCCCAAAGACAAAAACAACAATAAGCAAAATACAAACGCTTGCTATGAAATTTATTAAATATTTCATCTAATTTGAAATTCCTAGTCCCTTGTCTATAATTATTTGCGCAAGTCACGAAAGTATTTTGATGGATCACTCTCAAAATCATCTCTGGGAATGCGATAATTCCTCCCTGGAGCCTTCATAGTCTTCCCTCCTCTATCAGAAGAACACGTCCCAACAACTTTACAAAGCAAAATACCAACACCAAGAGCTGCCACAGTCACGCCAACAGCAGTAGCAACATGTAAAACCTTTTCTCTTCTGTCAGCTTCTACACAAGTGTTGGTCTTGTCACTTTCTCCAGTGTTCTGCGAGCTCTCACAACCACCCATTTTTTGGACCAACACTACCTATCAGTAACGACCCTTTTCTGCTGTTGTTATGGAATATATGGGGTTGGGGGGGCTATATAAATAGATAGATACAAATTTCTGGGAAATATACGAATAGAAGCATAATTATGGTCATTGATATACACACAGAAACTGACTAATAAATGCTCCATCTCTATATTTGTGTTTTCATGATGTTTTGAGAATTGAGAAGTTGGTGCATCCAAATATTAAAGGATATTTATGGATACGAAGCAACACGACGAGGGTGGCTATTGGAGTTCCCACGTAGATTAAATTAAAAATTAATATTTTTACTGAGAAAGTTATAACAAGTATATTTGTTAAACAATTAATAAATAAAACTTTTTAATCAAAATTAAATTGAATGTCTATATTAGAAATTATGAGGAGTAAAGTTTGTCTACTATTGTAATACTTCTTCATAGTTAATTTTTTATTAACTTTTTTTATTTTAATTAAAAAATAAACCAGAAAAATACCATAAATATGGTTATTTTAAAAGAAAAAAAATATGTATTTAGCATTGATTTTTTTATAAAGAACTTATCTTATTATATTCTTCATAAAATTATTTATTGATAAAAGTTAAAACATTTACCTGGTTAAAAAATAATATAAATATTCTCTTATCATAATTTTAATAAAAAAATATTTATTAATTCTGGTTAACGAGATCCTCCTGGTCATCAATTGAAATACCCTTTTTGTACGTTGCTAACTGTACATAAAAGCTTAATATAAATGGCAGATTTAATCACCTCGCAACGCGACTCGTGTGATTTCAGAATTGCGTTGATCCACATCCTCGCATTGTACAAGCGGTTTTTTTTTTTTTTCCCTCTTAATTAGGATAAAATTAAAAACATTTTGCTAAAATAAAGCTTTTATAAAACATATAGACAAAATAATACACGTAGGACAAGTGTGATTTTAAAAATAAGTCAATCCTTATTTTTTTTTAATTCTGAAAATTGGCTGTTTATTAAATAAATAGATTGATTTTAATATTAAATAAAAAATTAAATAAAATTAATTATAATATTTTTAATTGTGAAACTATTTGAAAGCTGTAAATTTGTAGCTAAAAATTTACAATTATATAAGTAATTTATACAATTAAATTATTAGACAAACTAACTATGCAATTGACTAATTTATGCTAAATCACTTTTAAAAAATTTAAAAGCTACCAACTACCTTTATCAAACCTAATCAAAATTTAAAATCACATAAAACTTAAAACATATATAAAATTACATATACTTATGTATTCGTCACAAGTGTTTTTTTAAGATAATTTAGTAATAAGGTTAAGATTCAAATGTTGTCGCGTACAAAGTTATATATATATATATATATATATATATATATATATATATATATATATATATATATAAACTGAATCATGATTGGGTAGATTCTTGCATGAAGCATGGTAGGGACATAAAAAGAGATCACCTTAAATTAACTACCTCAACTATGGGACAGTGTGACACATATCCCTCTCTTCCCCTGTGTCACTTCCCAAAATAGAACATCAAAACCAAACACTGAGATCTAACACGCTCTCTTTCATTTCACATTGCTTTTCTCTGAATCTGAGTTCTTAACTCGCTCTTATCACACCCCAATCAGATTTTATCCGAGTAGGTTTTTTCTTGCCATTCCATGTCTCACTTGCTACCTCTTTTCACTTTCTTTGCTGATTTTGCATGAAGTTTTAATTTTTGCTGGATCTGGAGCATTTTGCAATCTGGGTTTGCTCGATTTGGTCGTTTCAGCGATCATGGAACTGTTTTCATTTGATATTTGATGCACGCAATAGTTCACTTTTATTTGTTGTCGTTGTTTCATTGAGTAGTGGTTGAGTTATTAACTAGTCTTGCTCCTCTTGATGCTGATGTTGCTTTTCCATTGTGTCAGATCTGGTAGTTCCATTTAATTCTATTGCTAATAATTATCATTAATCTCATTCATTGATATTTGAATTCAATCCAATAATGTTTTCAAAATCAGATTTTTCATTGTTTGTCACGTATTCAATTACCGCTTTCTTTTCTTTTCATGGGGATCTATCATTTTCATTGATTAGGTTTCAATGGATTTGTGGTCATCATTGCTTTTACTTTATATATGCTTTTTAATCTTTGTTATTTTTCACTGATGTGGGACGTTTAGTGCACACAATTTGACTGAAAATTATCCTCAGTTACACTCTTTTTACATTTTAGTGCTGTATATAAGGCAATAAATCCTGGATTTGTAGTGCAGTAAATTGTTTTTGGCCGTTTGTTTCTTCTTTTGACCAAGTGCTACTAAGATTGCTTTAACTGGGGGAGCATTTCTGAATCTTTGATTATGTTACCAATTAGTGCTATCACCTTCAATTATTGACCATATCGTCCTGGATCATGCTTGCGTTGTTATTGTCTTTCCTGCTTACATCTTAAACTCTATCCTGCTTGAAAAGAGACAAGTTTTGACTTGGTTCTGTATTTGTATCTGCTCTTTTGCTTATATTCTTTTGAGCTGCATGATTTAATCAAGAAGACAAATTAGTGATGAATTGGTGTATTCATTTTGCTTATTGCTGCCCCCTACCTTTCTTGCAGGTACTTTGAACCGGTGTGTTGATTTTTCACAACTTATGAGGAAGCTGGATTATGATGCTATCTAGTTTGAAATATTGGGGTTGCTACTAGTTGTTTTGGATGGTGAAATTGCTGCTTCATGCCCGGTGAATTAAGGTCTATGCTGTGACCAGTTTTCGTTCATAAGTGAGCAGTGAAGACTGAAAAGTACATTTGAATTTGTTTCACTTTCAACTGATAAATGTCAAGGGGTAGATCTGATGGATCACAAAAGAAGCGTTTAGTTGCTTCCGTTTGTGGTGTGGCAATCTTTCTTGGTTTTCTATACGTGTACCAAGGATCTATCTTTGGTTCTCAAAATAGTGGTTCATCTGCACTTGAATATGGCAGCAAGTCATTGAAAAGACTTGGGGCATCATATTTGGGAGCAGATGATGATGCTGATGGCAAGCAAGATGAATCTTCATCAATCTTAGGGCAGGGAGATGGGGAGGATGATATCGTACCTAAGAGTTTCCCTGTAAGTTTTTGTGCAACCTCAAACTCAAGGCACATTCACTGTATTTCTTCTCAAAATCCCGTTATTGTGGTTCTAATCTTGAGCATATATAATTTTGATTTTGATAGCTGCATCAAACAATGACAAGTGTTGTCTGTTTCCATTGGTAGAAATAGGCATATTAGAACTTTCTTGTTTATTCGTAATGTTTTTTCCCCTTACAAAAATAGGTATAATTTAAACATTTATCCTTTCCTTTACAAAAATAAAGAAGATATCGTTAAATGAGTTGTTTTAATTTAGATAAATATGATTTTATTAAAGTACACACCTTATTAAGTAACTACTATTAAATAATGTATGCCCATTAGATAAGATAAAACTTGAAAAAAAAAAAACCAATTACATATTCATAATCAACATCAAAGTCAAGTAACAAGAATCTTGGTTGCAAAATTAGAATAAATTTCCTAGTTTCATGCATATAAGTAAATAAGTAAGCGATCACAGCATCACCAAAGTAAAAAGAGAAAATGCTTTAAATCCTTCATTATTTTCATCACCATATATCCCGGTTCTCTTCCTCCTCAGGCTCAGATGAAAATCATGAAATTGATTCACCACCTGTGCTGTAAATTATCTTAGTCGTCCCTCATCTAGTTCAAGGTTGTGCATATCATCCAAATGAGGCTCTACTTATGGAACATCATCAATCTAATGGAATTTTCAATGCTGTTGTTTTTGAAGGTTTGTGATGATCGTCATTCAGAGTTGATTCCCTGCTTAGACAGGCACCTCATCTATCAAATGAGACTGAAGCTGGATCTTTCTTTGATGGAACACTACGAGAGACATTGTCCTCCTGCAGAAAGGAGGTACAATTGTTTGATTCCTCCTCCACCTGGATACAAGGTAAAGATCTTCAAATTAAACATATCCTCATAAATACATTTGTATCAATGTTAATCAATGTCAAACAATTGTTGCTTCTGTGGTGTTGCAGGTCCCTATTAAGTGGCCACAGAGCAGAGATGAGGTGTGGAAAGCAAATATACCACATACTCACCTTGCACATGAGAAGTCTGATCAGAACTGGATGATTGTAAAAGGTGACAAGATAGTGTTTCCTGGAGGAGGGACACATTTTCACCATGGAGCTGATAAGTACATAGCTTCAATTGCAAATGTAAGGAGCATGGCTCTTTGTTACTGAGTTTGACAGTGTTGGTTGTTTGATGCGTTCCATTTATTTAGAAATTCTTTAATGTGATGGATAAAATCAGTATGTAACATTCAGTTTGTATTGCCAGATGCTCAACTTTTCAGGCAATAATCTTAACAACGAAGGAAGATTGCGGACAGTGCTTGATGTTGGCTGTGGTGTTGCGAGTTTTGGAGCTTATCTTCTATCATCTGATATCATTGCAATGTCCTTGGCACCCAATGATGTCCATCAAAATCAAATTCAATTTGCTCTAGAAAGAGGAATTCCTGCATATCTTGGTGTCTTGGGGACTAAGAGACTCCCTTATCCAAGCAGATCATTTGAACTTGCACACTGTTCTCGTTGTAGGATTGATTGGCTGCAAAGGGAGGGAATACTACTCCTTGAGCTAGACCGGTTGCTTAGACCAGGAGGTTATTTTGCATACTCCTCTCCTGAAGCATATGCTCATGATGAAGAGGATCTAAGGATATGGAGAGAAATGAGTGCCCTTGTTGGACGTATGTGTTGGAAAATTGCTGCAAAGAGGGACCAAACTGTCATCTGGCAAAAACCTCTCACAAATGATTGCTATATGGAAAGAGAACCTGGCACTCGCCCTCCTCTTTGCCAGTCTGATGATGACCCAGATGTCGTTTGGGGAGTGAATATGGAAGCTTGCATAACACCTTACTCTGACCGTGAGTACCTTTTTTCTCTTAAGTTATTTCAAATTTCTGTTTTAGCATTTTATTTCTTTGCCTTCTAGCTCTTGCTTTTTAACTAGCAATATATTGGTGCTTCTTTTCTTGTCATCTTCATATCGTGTTCAAGATCCACCAGGTGAAAACATTGATTTACAGGGCTGATTTATGTTAGTGAATGGCTAAAGAAGAAGCTATGATATTAGAGCGATGTATCTAATGTTTGCTGAATAATAAATACTAAATTGCAAGTTACATGTAGATAAGCTGTGGTAACAAGTTGTATTTAATATCATCCATTATTTAACCTGTTTTGAGCTGAAGCTAAATGCTCCTAACTAAACCCGTATTTTCTGTTATTTGAGATAATCTTAGCTACTGTTTATGGAAGTTGTGCAATTGCTTTTAGTGCATGTAGCCTATATTCCAAGCAGATAAAACTTGACCCCTTTTTTCTTTATATATGGATTTGGATTTATTGTGAAACAATTTGTATTGAGCTTGAAGTTTAACTGTTTAACGAGCTGTGGATATAAGATTCCACCTAATGAAATTTTTGTTGATTTTATCAGATGATAACAGAGCCAAGGGTAGTGGATTAGCTCCATGGCCTTCAAGATTGACCAGTCCTCCTCCTAGATTAGCTGACTTTGGCTACTCAAATGAAATGTTTGAAAAGGATACGGTAATTGGAATTTGTAATTATTTCTCTGTCTTAACGGTTTTCCTAAGGTGTGCCATAAATCAACAAATAGTAAGTTTTTATTGAAAAATGTAGCATTTAATGTTATCAATGCATTGGATCCTTTGATGTCTTGTGATGCCCTTGGGTACACATTAGAAAAACTTAATTTTAAATAGTCTTTTGTTCTTGTAAGCATGTATACTTTATAAATAAGATAGATATAATTAGATAAATAGGCTTAACTTTTGTTTTGTGGTCCAGGAACTATGGCAAGGAAGAGTTGATAATTACTGGAATCTGTTGAGTCCAAAAGTCACGTCAAACACACTGAGGAATGTGATGGATATGAAAGCAAACATGGGTTCATTTGCAGCTGCTCTTAGAGGCAAGGATGTTTGGGTGATGAATATTGTACCTCGTGATGGACCAAACACACTTAAGGTTGTATATGACAGAGGCCTCATCGGGACTACTCATGACTGGTATTGAAGCTGGTTTTCCTGAAATAAATATTGCTATATTTGATATCTTTCTATGCATTAGTCTCATTTGATGGTATCTGATTTCAAGATTCATGTTTTATCTGGACCTTATTTTCTGAATTCTAGCAGTGAAGTTTAACATTATATATAACTGCAACAGGGCCTTGTTTTATATTTATTTTTCTAACTAACACCTTACAAGATCTTATCTTAATGACAATAATTAATATTAAATAGTATTTTGGCACCAACAAGTGGTTGTTTAAGTGGTACATGCTTGATTCTCTTTAAGCTAGGTCTTGGATTCAAGTCTTGTCTACGGAAAAAAATCCACGCTAAAAGAGCTAGTCCCACTATTTTATTAATGTTCCTGTCTCGATCATAATTGTTTCATGAAAAATGTCTCTGGTTTAGAACCTTAAGCACATAATGTTAAAAGATAATGATTCGAAAAACATTATTTTCAATCAATCATGATCATGAGTTTGCATGTGATCGACTAAACTGAAATATTTTTACAGGTGTGAAGCATTTTCAACATACCCCAGGACTTATGACATGCTCCATGCATGGACTGTCTTTTCTGACCTTGAAAAGAGAGAGTGTAGTCCAGAGGATCTATTGATTGAGATGGACCGTATGCTTAGGCCTACTGGTTTAATTGTCATAAGGGATAAACAACATGTGATTGATTTTATCAAGAAGTACCTAACAGCATTGCACTGGGAAGTAGTTGCAACTTCAGATGCAAGTTCTGACTCTGACCAAGATGGCAATGAAGTTGTTTTTGTCATCCAAAAGAAATTGTGACTCACCACCGAAAGCTTAAGAGATTCAGAATAGGACAACCACAGCCATATGGCTTTTCCACTTCCACTTTCTTATATATTCTCTGCTGCTACAAGGGATCCAAAGCATGTCCCCAATGTTGGAAGCAGTGAACAACTTCATTTTGTAGCATTATTACATAATATTTATCAATTCCCTTCTTTTGATTCTCATTTTTGTGATAATGATGCAAGTTATTATTAAGCCATAGGCATTATGCTTCTATAGGGTATTCATTATTTTTCCCTTCATTTGGGTATGATGTAAGCTACTTAATAATCATATTAGAACTTGTCACTTATACATGCATTTTTGTGCATGAAATATCATATTAGTTTCTTGCTTTCATGTTACAGTTTGTAGTGCCCAAGGTACAACTTAAAACGGGAACACTGTAACTTCCAAAATCAGTGTATCTATTCAAAGATTATAAAACTAATAAACTATCACTAACTGTAGATTCTAAATTTCTAATCTTTAATTGATCTTTGGTTTAAGCTAAGATATGCGGGTTATATTTTGCCTTAAGCCCGAGTAAGAAATCAGGTATTCTTTCTTCCTTATTCACCTCCTTTGTTCAATGCAAGGCTTATATTTTTAAAATTCCATTGCGTAAATACCTACTTTTGATCGGGCATTGGTGATTATAAAATTTCAGAAATGCAAGATAAGGAATTAAAAATTGAAGAAATCATATAAAAAATTTATGATACAAAGCACAATAGTATTATAATTGCATTTTTTAGTCACCTTAATTTAGATTATGTGCCATTTTGATTTTTTTTAAGTGTTTTTGGATAATTAAGTCTTCAATTTTTAAATTAAGCAATTTTGATCCCTCATCAAATTTTTTAATCTAAAATCCACAACTTTTTTATTTTTTTTACTTAAAATCTTTAAAAATGAAACCGATTAAATGTTGTTTTACAAAAAAAATTATTAACCAAAACATCAAATTACACTATAATGAATAAAAAACATTATTTTCATATATTATAAAGCCCTTCAAATTTAACAAATTTTCCACAAATTTCTTAATTTTAAACTTTTGAAATAATTTTGTATCCCAAATCCATCTGGACCCTCAAATAATTAGACAGAAAATAGTAATATGATGATACAATAATTAATAAATATTTTTTTATTAAAATTATGATAAGAGAATATTTATATTATTTTTTAACCAGGTAAATGTTTTAACTTTTATCAATAAATAATTTTATGAAGAATATAATAAGATAAGTTCTTTATAAAAAAATCAATGCTAAATACATATTTTTTTTCTTTTAAAATAACCATATTTATGGTATTTTTCTGGTTTATTTTTTAATTAAAATAAAAAAAGTTAATAAAAAATTAACTATGAAGAAGTATTACAATAGTAGACAAACTTTACTCCTCATAATTTCTAATATAGACATTCAATTTAATTTTGATTAAAAAGTTTTATTTATTAATTGTTTAACAAATATACTTGTTATAACTTTCTCAGTAAAAATATTAATTTTTAATTTAATCTACGTGGGAACTCCAATAGCCACCCTCGTCGTGTTGCTTCGTATCCATAAATATCCTTTAATATTTGGATGCACCAACTTCTCAATTCTCAAAACATCATGAAAACACAAATATAGAGATGGAGCATTTATTAGTCAGTTTCTGTGTGTATATCAATGACCATAATTATGCTTCTATTCGTATATTTCCCAGAAATTTGTATCTATCTATTTATATAGCCCCCCCAACCCCATATATTCCATAACAACAGCAGAAAAGGGTCGTTACTGATAGGTAGTGTTGGTCCAAAAAATGGGTGGTTGTGAGAGCTCGCAGAACACTGGAGAAAGTGACAAGACCAACACTTGTGTAGAAGCTGACAGAAGAGAAAAGGTTTTACATGTTGCTACTGCTGTTGGCGTGACTGTGGCAGCTCTTGGTGTTGGTATTTTGCTTTGTAAAGTTGTTGGGACGTGTTCTTCTGATAGAGGAGGGAAGACTATGAAGGCTCCAGGGAGGAATTATCGCATTCCCAGAGATGATTTTGAGAGTGATCCATCAAAATACTTTCGTGACTTGCGCAAATAATTATAGACAAGGGACTAGGAATTTCAAATTAGATGAAATATTTAATAAATTTCATAGCAAGCGTTTGTATTTTGCTTATTGTTGTTTTTGTCTTTGGGAGGTTTATGTTGCATTAACATCTATGTTTATACTATCAATCAAAACTCTTGCGGAGCAACATGAAATTCCAAAGAAATTGACTTAAGTCGATTCAAATCAGTGTTTTGGTAAGCTGTTTTAAAGCATTTAGTATGAAAATTAAAAGGCATAGAAAAGAACATGACAACATAGAGAAATGTAGATAAAAAAAAATTAGTAAAGAATATATTATTTAGGCAGATCAAAGTAACTTAGATAGTTGAATGTGGGATAGATTGTCAAATAAATTTAACTAATAAATTTTAAAAATTTTATTGTATAATATTGGTGTTAACAAAAACTACTCTTGAAGAATATCCCTTTTTTTTATCTTACTTCGAGACAAAGAAGAAAAAATGGCATCTTGCTTTATTTTGAAAAAATAATTAAAACATCTCCTAGGTGATATACAAACCCAGTGAATCAAGGAAAAACTAAAATTTCAGAATAAGTTAGTATTATTTTCAAATTATCTCGATAATTTTATTTTTAAAAAAATGACTAGTACTTCCAAAAACTTTATTATCTCTGCAAATGTGAAGTTTATTTTCATACACATGCTGAGTCTAATCTTGCCAAACGATTTTGCTACAAGACAACAGACAAAAAAAGGTAAATTTTGGTCCCGTACTTGATTGCTCGGTTAACATTAGCGGATCCAGATCGCTTGCAGTTCTGGCGGAAACTGCAGGCTGCAGTTTTCCTCTCGCTTAAGCGACCAAGTAAAGGGCTTAAACATGCAGAAATGTGCCTAAGCGGGCAAGAACAGACTTTTAAGCGAAATTCGCTTAAGCGACTATATCAGGCTTAAGCGAATTCTAAATAGCTTAAGCCCTCCCAAGCGAAAAAGAAAGATTTGAAGTGAAAATAGACCAGAGAGCCATGTTTTTCGGTCACCTATTTCGCTTAAGCTAATTTAAAATCGCTTAAGCCCCTCGTAAGCGAAAAAGAAAAATTTGAAGCGAAAATGGACTAGAGAGCCATGTTTTTCAGTCACCTATTTCGCTTAAGCTAATTGTATAATTAGATAAAAAAAAAAACATGACTTATTTAGTACCGCACTTGATTGCTCGAATATAATTAGCTTGATCGCAAATCGTAGAATTCACCTTGATTGTTATATCTTTCTTGGCTTAAATATAATTTTGATACTTCTATTATATTATGGCGAAGATTTTTATTTTAATTCTTTTAAACAATTTTTTAATTATTTTTTTATAAATTTTTTATTTTTAATCCTTGATGTTGAAATGTTCAAACTAAAAAGTGACAATATATCAATAAGCAATATCAGTGTTATGAACTAAACAAAAATTTATTAAAAAAATAATAACTACAAAAATTTATTTAAAGGGACTAAAATTAAAATTTTGCTAAAATGTGATAGACAAAAACATATTTATCTTTATTCAAACGATGCTGATCCCACTAAACAAATGTCGAATAAAATACAAGAAAAACATTTAGAGGGTCATGTCAAGTGCATTTAACCCAAACAAAAACAAAGGTTTTATTCAACAAAAAACATTCGAGTCTATGAGAAGTTTGTGCAAATGAATAGTGTACAGGTAGCATCTTTTTCAATTCCAAAATATTTTCATATTTTTTTGGGTTAAATGTAGTGTCTAAACCGAAAAACACCAGGACTTAGGCTATCAAAACAATCTTGAGAACTAAGAAGTAAATAAAATTCCTATTTTGTGTTTAGTAATTTTGGTGCAGTCAATAAAAAAAGTGGATGAAATATCGAAGTTGAGAGGCGAACTTAAGTTGCACGTAAGAAATATACAAAAAGGTATTCGGCCTAACCATGATATAATTAAATCATTACACATCTGATTCAGTTAGTAGACACTAACATGGAAAAGATATAAAAACAATAACCAAAGAGGGTATAGTTACAGAGATGACCCATACCGCGCATTAGGCCTTTAACTCCTTGTCGCACATCATGCTGCGCGTTTGATTGTTAAACCTGTTAAACAAGATTACTATTTCAAATCTCAAAGCCCAAGTGAATTGGTATTACTCTCAAAACTCTAGTGCAGGACTCGCCATAATACCGCGAAACAAGATTAAACGTTTCTTTGCAAATATTTATTGATAAAAAATTATATAATCATGCTAAGTTACTATGAAGGAAGATAAGTCTGTTCAGTAGCTAGTTACAACTGATGGATTCAGGGACATATGGCACACCAAACAAAAGACATGAGTAGAATATAAGGAGAAAGGAAGGAGAATAAAGGTAGGCATTAAGATGTATCATGAATGTCTTTCGGAAACTTTCTCCCACTACCCACCTCTATAAAATAAAAATACATGCGTTAAAACCTGTATTGACTCTTGGAATAACGAGTATACACACACACACACTATCTATATATATATATTGCATTCATATTTTTTAATCAATTTTTCTCTTATTTTTCACCTTAATTTTCCCGAACCTAATATTTCTAGCACATAAATGTCAAAGGTATGACAGTAAGAGGGGAAACATGAAATGGAAGCAACTTGGGTGAAGCAACATTACATGAAAAAGAATGTACTTGTTTGACTTTTTTTTTTTTTACAATTTCTGCCATGACTCATGATCCGCTATTACTGACTCCTATTCGTAAGATTTTCTCAATCTCATCTCTTCAGTGATCAACCTTGCATCTATCGACGCAAAGTACATAATGTATATAGATTAGGTATAGTTTTGACAGTTTGTTTTCAAGTAGTTATTTGTGTTATGATTAAGCTTTTGTTGTTAAATTTTAGTTAACTTTTATGCACGGAAAATTTGAAAGAAAATTTATTAAATACTGATTCCAAAAACAATACTTTTCATGTTAATCAGTACTAAATTTTGTACTGCGTGCGATTTATGGGTTTATAACATACTTATTTTTATATGGTTAAGTATTTATAGTATATTATCAATAATATTGAATAATTGCATTTTTATGCTAAGTACATATTTAATAAAAATAATGCAAAAGTTCGAAAACTCCAATTCTGAATGAGGTAAAATAACTTGATTATTTCTGTTAATTTGACTTTAAAATATGCAACTATTTATAATTAATGTTCCATTTTTTTCAGTCCTTGAAAAGTGGTAGTGCAGGAGTCAATAAAGTAACGCTGTAAAAAGTTCAGTTTAAATTTTAGATAAAATATTTTAATTTATAATCTTTGATCTTGATATATTGATATTAGAACTTCGTATGACATTTTTTTTAAAGTAGTTTTTTGCATTTATTGGGTAAAATATTAGAATATTTGTAATTATTATAATTTTACACTATATTTAAAGTTGTTCTATTTAATGTCTTATATTAGATTGTAAACAATATGAATTGTATTTTAATTAACTAAATTGCATGTAATGAGAATGGGTATGGGAATTTAGGTACCCAGAGCTTACGGGGATAGAAATCAAAGTGATTATCTAGAAAATATAGGGACAAGTAATTTTATAAAATGTGGGAATGGAGATGGGTACGGTAGTACCCATCCCATTACCATGCCTAGTGGCTCGCCGTTGCTATATAACAAGCAATCAAGCACACCGCAAGATGTTTGAAACAGCAATAACTCGACCCAAGTTTAGTACAGCACCATTACAAACAGAATCTCAATGACTGTTGTGAAGCAAAATGTAGGAAGTCAATAGAATGACTGCACTTGATGATGTGATGTCTATAAATCATGAAAAAAAAAAAACTCTATTCAACAAGGTCATAAGATAGTAGGCTTGTTTGTGTTGCCACCATTCACAACGGGGTTCATTGAAAGTGAATAATTTTCCCTTTGATAAACCTCTCTTATGTATGAGTGTCTTGGAATTCAGGATTCAAATTGAACATCCATTTTTAATGTTCCCCAAACGGGCATGTCTGTAGGGATATTACAACAATGCACACAGGAAATCGGAAGATAAAGAAACAAAACTGGACATGTCTGTAAGAACACCAAAGGCGGTTTAAGCAGCCAAAAGGAAGAGAACATGCCTTTAACAAAGGCTACCAAGCTAAAGCATTTCATGAAAAGCATCTGCTAACTGCTAGATCATATGTAAAGATGATTTCTTTCAACAAGAGTTTGACCAACAAAATAATAATAATAATTAGTATTTCTGCTTCTGGGGTGAATGAGAAATTGAGGCTTAATGGTAAACTGCATAATTCAAATAAGACAATGGCAACAAAAATTACAGTTGAAATTTGTCTTGAAATTAAATGGAACAAATTGCTTTTCTGTCATCTGAGGTTGCTATTTTCATGCACTACCATTCACCCAAGGATGGAGTGATTTATGAGTTTTGTTGGTGTGATTAGGAAAAGTGCAGAAAATCTAAGACTTGCTACTGGTTTGTCATGAGAAGGATTATTATGCAGAATCAAAGAGAAGTCCCAATTCTATTCGACCAATTTGGACTTCATCATTCAACTGATTTGGACTTCTTCATGCCAGAAGGTACAATTATTTGGACACAATGCAGGTTCTGCAAATTGATTTGGAACTGAGGACAAGGTTCATTTCCATGGGGTAGGTAACGTTATGAAGGAAGATGAGCCAGCTAATCCTATGAGCGATTAGTTACAAAAAAGTAGGAAGGTATATAAGACCAACATAGTAGCACAATCAGTAAAATAAAAAATGTATAACCATGAAACATGCATAGATATTTTAATTTATGGAAATGTCATCCACATATTGAAAGTTATAATCTAATGAATTGGAATCTGTCTTAACAATGACAGATGTACCTGCTCAATGATGCTTAAGTAACTCTACAGGGTTATACCAAAGATGCACCTTCCTGAATTTCTGTAAGCTCATGGTCCTGGACATATAAAGAAATAGTTAAAAGAAAATAGTAGTAAGATTTCAACTTTTATCTTATCCCGCCTCATAAAGAAAAATCCTACATATGCAGTCCTAAAGAAATGGTGCATGATCAGTTTTTACAAGAGATATGGTTTGGTGAGCAGGATGTCTACCAATGGGTAGCCAAAAGATGCACAATCACTCAAAGATATCACATACCGCATTGTAAACTGGTATTTGATTTCGCCAAAACTCTAAAGGAGGTAGAAGCAACCTACCTGCAACATAACCAATTAATAAAGAATATAGCCTGAAGTAAATGACTTCTCAAATTACAAAATAAAAAATGACTAACAATATCATTGGGTTAGAGAGTTCGATAACATGAACAAACGTGCATGAAAATCACTTAAAGTACATCTATAATCTGTAAGCCTAATAAGATGGAGTAGTATGCATAGACAATAATGAAAAATTTTACCAGATCTGGATTTTCTGAAACTCAATGCCTCTGCAGAAACTGAGGATGTTTTCTTTTTCCTTCCCTTGACCAAGTGGCTTACATCCTTTTCATGCAGATTTTTCTCAGAAGATGAAGATTTAGTCAGTATTTGCTTAGCCCTGCCCTCTTTTGTTTCAACTGTCACTCTCTTTTTCTTATAACAGACATCACTCTTGGCTGACAAAGTTCTAGAGAATCTGGACACAGATTTTGTAGGTATCTGCTCAGATGATGGCTTTACTTTTCTCCGCAATCGTGACTGAATGGGTGTTGCTGGATTTCCCAGTCCCTCTAAATCACAGTTCTTATTGCCTTCAGTCTTTGCTGACGATGTTCTAGAAATTCTGGAAACAAATTTTTTAACAATCTGCTCAGATGATGAGTTTATTTGTCTCTGTGATTGTGACTGAATGGGTGTTGCCGGACTTCTCTGTCCCTCTACATCACAATTCTCCAAGGCCACTGAGGTAGTGTTCTTCAATTTATCTGGATTCTTCGGGGCAGCTCCAGAAGCTGGCTGCTTCTGCTGCTGACATACTCTAATACTATGCAACCTCGCACTATGTCTATTCCCACCACTACCATAAGCTACATTAACCCCACCCATCTCCTTCGACACATCGCATTCCTTTTCAGGGAATGACTTCTCACAATCTCCCAGGGTATTCTCTACTGATGTTAAAGTAGGAACCGATTTTTCCACAACTGTAACCGCAATTAATTAAACCATCCATATAGAAACTAGGTATAGGAAATGATACAATGAAAATAAAGCATCAAACAACTATAAGGAACAAATAAACATTCGCAAATCATTTACAAGCATTCATTACCATTATCAGGTATGATTTCTGGACTAGTTGCTGACACATCATCAGGAAAAGCACTACCAAAATCAGAGCCAGTGCTTGATTCTTCTCTGAAGCAATCTAGAGCACAGCTTTCCCAGTCTAGAGGAAAGCCAAATAAAAAGTGGCTGAAAACCTAGCCATTGGGAACACAAACAAATTACAAAGTGAATATCATAAAATGAGGGACAGGTACAATTAACATCAACACTAATGATAAACAAGATTTTAAAACAAGGGTTATGAAAACACCAAACAAGAGATTACTTTTTGCGCCACTCTTTTTTGCCATTCACACCAACATTTTTATTATGACTTCCGGAATTTAATTTTCAGAGGTGCATTTAATGCTTCCAGAAGTGAATTTTACAAATGACTTCTTGAAATTAAATATATGGAGTGATTTTACACCTGAGCGGTGAAACCATTTTCGAGCGTGCGCTGCTCGTTGATGAAACCACTGAGGAGAATGCATATCCCATCCACAGTCGCCAGAGAAAACAGATCGTATCTTTTGATAACAGGAGCAGAAACAAAAATGCGCAAAGCCTCATGCCTAAATCACAAAACCAAATGACCAGAGTCATCACACGAACTCATCAATGCGACCTTGTTCAAAAAACGACATAAACATTGCAGTGAAGCACAGGCATTTCAAGGCGAAACGAAAAACCCTAAGTGTTCCTGGTCTTACTTTCTGGAAGAGACACCAGCGACGGCTAAACGCTTTCCTTGGGAATCGGTTTTGGCTTTAACGAGCCACCATTCGTATAAGGAGACCTTGGGGAAGGGAAAAAAGAGCGTTAGAAAGAGGAGAAGGAAGGAAGAAAGGGTGCATCGAGTTACCGTTCGTTGGAAAGAAGATGAGTCCGTGTGGGAAGGAATTGCTGCAGATGGAGTGGAGTCCAGCATTTTCCGATACACAAGCTGATTTTCAAAAACTTGCGGGAATTTATAAGGGTGGCTCAAGTTCATTCAATAAATTTGATGGTTAACTGGCCACGAGTTATCTCTGTGCCTATCTTACCCAAATTAGGATTGGCTCAACCCACTTACAAATAAAATATATTAGTTTTAATATTATATATAACTAAATTATAAATCAATTAAGTATATAATTAAAATTAAAGTATATATTTTAAAATAAATAATATCAACTTAAATATGATATCATGGATGCAAAATATTATTTATTAAATTTTGAAGTGTTATTATTAATACATGACTTTTAATAAGTATAAATTTTAGAAGGAAATAAAGAGTTGAAGACCTTAAAATACACTAAATTTAATGCCAAAAAATCATATTCATCAAAATTAACATTAAGTGAGGACAAATTGGGAGTACTAAAGCCATTATTCTTCATTTTTCAGTGGATAAAACTCTATTTAATAAGCCTTAAATATATTTTCTAACTTATAAACAACATCTATATATTTGTGAAATATTTAAGTTATTAGATTGACAACATGAGATCATATGAGACTACTAATATCTATAAGTTTGAAATTATCCATAATCACACTGTCGAACTAAAGCAATTATTGGCAATGTCAAAACCTTTGAGACTGAATTTAAACACTCAACAAGATGAATAGTTATATGATCATATCACATTCCTCCACTGCATCCACTTGTCCTCTGAAACTTTTTCTAGCCATTTCACATATTTCTGAAATTATGCACACAGGCAAGAAGCTTTGCCTCCACCTAGTCCCCCTTTCTCATTTGTTGTTGAGTTTTAAAAAAAGGTAAGAAACATTACAGAGTTCATATCTATTTCAAATTAATATACAAAAATAAAACCTAAAAAAATTAAAACAAATAATAACTCATCAATGCATTAGAAGACATTTACACTATTTTGTAAAAATAAAGGCCAAATATCTTTTGTGACTTTACATAGACTATGCATTATCATTTGAAATAAGATGATGGCTGTTAAAAAATCATGTTTTAGCTCTTCACTTTTTTCTCAGAAATCTTTGTTGGTTCTAGTTAGCATCATAGATATCAAATTTCTACTTTTTTCCTTCCATCTACTATTTCATGAAAATGCGCTATAGAAGTGCGAATACGGGTAACCCAGGTAGATTACAGCAATCAGAATACTTGGAGAGCAATACTGTAGCCAGTAGGAAATTTCGAAAACATCGACTGAATTCCATACAAATCTCACGCTGAAACACAATGATGCTTCCGCTAGATAAGGAGAGAAAAGGAAGAGAGAGAAATGAAAGGCTGAATTGTGAACGTAAAACAACTAAACTGTAAACCAGTGTCATGTTATTGCATACTTTTGGTATTTACTTTTATCAGCTTGGTAATACAGTTCAAAGCAAAAATGAAATCAGATTCATTAAGGATTAGGTTCATTTTAGTGGGCTTAAAACTTGTTGAAACCATTATATTACCTACCCACTGCATGGAAATAGTGAACCACATTATATTACACTTTGTTTTCCATAAAGAAAAATAGACAGGGCATTGAGGACATAACATTGAAAATTCATTTGCAAAATTGTGTATTTTTGTTCAACCAGAGTGGCTGAGAATGTTTACAAAAAACTAAGACAAAATTGCATCTCCTTACGATTCTCCTAATCCCCAAAATTCAGTAAGTACATCAGCCACACCTGCCTTTCCAGCAGAATGATTGGAAAAAATGAGCATAATCCTAGTCATAAGGAGATCTCCAGATCGTATTATCAGCTTTGCTTCAACTCTCCAGTAGTGAGCACGGAAACAAGGACCTATAACCATCATAAATAATCTAACTATGTTCCTCCAATCCAGGCTAGATCGCACAAAACCAATTCCTGGAACTGATGAATATCAAGGGTAAAAGCCCCCACAGGTTTCAACACAATGCAGATGCAAAATATGCAAGCAACAGGATGGCAGTCACTGTTATCTCCTTCTCTTCCTCCCTTTTCCTAGTTGTCCAGATTTAAAAGCATGTTCTTGCTCTTGAAGGAAAGCTCTAGCTCTTCCGTACTTTTCCACTCTCTCTTTTTCCAGTAAAGACCTCTCTTTTTCTTTTACCTCAAGCAAGAAGTAGTTGTCTTTACGCAGTTCACGAGCAGCCCCTTTAGCTTCACGCTTCAACTGTCTCTTCAATTTTCTCATTTCAGCTCGTTCACGGTCTGGATCATAATCTCTACCCTTGACATAGCTGCAGACAAATACGACATTCAAGTGCATAATTTAGAGTTGCCGTTTCTGATTCGCATGGCTAGTCAACATCATAGAATGTAAGCAAGGGAAAACGAGTGACTTACTTTTCCTCAAACTTCGGATTCAGTAATTTGATAGGTACTGGCTTTTGTTTCCGCATTTGAAGTGGTCGCCTCAAAGTGTGATGTTCGTCCACTTTCAACTTGATGAGCTCAGCCACTTCTTTAATTTTATCTCGTAATGCATTTGGCATATTTTTCTGTTCTGCTATCTCGAGTAACAATCTCAAAATTGGTAAGAATATTTCAGGAAATGAACTGAAGCCTTCATAGACATTGATGTATCCTTGTAAAGTTTCAACAGTTACAAACAATACGCCTGCCCTGTAATCAAAGAATCATAATTAGCCAAGATAAACAAATCCATAAACCTTGAAAAAGAAATCAACCATCAATGTTCTGAACATAGATGCCATCAACATTAGCGGCATCCAGGATTAGTCTCAATACTATAGCAATGATTAAAGGAACAGCTGTTGATAATGCAACTCAAAGCACACACATCCCGATGCCATGCCTTCCCGACCATCTTTTTCTAAAAACACACATGATGACATTCAAAAACCAAAATCAAGAGAGCCCAGCAGAAGAACCTGTGTGAAGGGTGATATCAAATTAGTGGTTACCTGAAACTATCAGAAGTGAAGAAAGAGGAGTCTTCCGGCATGTCTATTATCTTAAAGAAATTCAGTGGGCTAATCTCATTCACAGTCTCATGTATGCACAAGAGAGGCTTGAGAGCTTTCAGCTCCATAAGATGATATAACTGGAAAAAAAAAAACACAACATGATCGTTTCAGTGTCCAACCATAAATTGTAGTGACATTATGCAGTGTAGCACCAAATTGATGATATTGTACCCCAAAAGTAGGTCTAACTAGACTATGAATTTACTCGAGTGAATATCATAATAGTTCTCATGCATTGAACTGAATCTCAAACGCAAGAATGTTCTTCTACAAACAATGTTCACTTATATGTGTGTGTGTGTGTGTGTATATAAAACAAGGAAAAAGCAAAATGGTCTTTCCTTATTTCTAATTTACAATTGAGTCCTAAAGCTAGTAAGCTACATAATTAGGCCTTAGAATTGTAGACTAGGAAAAATGGTGTGTGTGTGTGTGTGTGTGTGTATATATATATATGAGCATCATTAGAAATGTCCAAGAAAATGGACAGCAATTGCTTGAACGTGTTTTCTCAGCTGGATTTTGCAGTGGCTAAAGAACCTTTTACAAGAAAGGAGTGTATTGTCTAAATGGAAATATATACAACAATAATTAGGACTAGTTTAAAGAAATTTGGTTTTTTACGAAAGAACTTGAATATTAAAAAACTTCTTAACCAAATAACAGTGGAAAATACTAACACATAAGCTGAGGTGGTTAGTAGTCCCCATGAATAAAAAGATGCATACATGTACACACATAATATGTTTCAAAATTCAAAGTGTCATCGAAGAAGCCATACCTGGGAATCTTCTTGTGAAATATATTTACTTTCAGTAGTTGCCAACAGCAAAGTTTGAAGAAATATTATTGCTTCAGGACAGAACTTTCGAGACTGTCTAAATACCTGCATTTTATATTAAGTACATGAGAAAACTGCAAATGTAATAAATGAAAAACAGGGAAAATCAAAGTTCAGCAATGCAGTATCTTAAATTTTGGACTAAGGCCTAACTCAACTTCAAAAGCTAGTTCATAAAGTGAAGATTGCTTTAGTTTTGTAAGCTTTTATTTGGTCACATATATAGTTGATGTGAGACTTCAACACATCCCCCTCTTGTTCAAGATTGGACATCTAAAACATAGAAATTGTAAGACTGATGTTTTTAAATATTGCACTGGGAAAGATGTAGGCCAGGTACGTAACACTGAGAAAGTTGTAGGACCAGGTAGGTTGCACAGGAAAATCTGTGGGGTCAGGTTTTTTAATCAAGAATATCCCAATATCAGGTCTATGATAGGCTTTGATACCATCCTAAATTTTGGTTTAAAGCCTAACCTAACCTCAAAAGTTAGCTCATAAGGTGAGGATTGTTATAGTCTTTATAAGCTCTTATTTGGCTATATTTGCAGCCAATGTGGGGCTTCAACACAGTATATAGCTTGGATAGCAAAATGTCCAAAATCAAAATTCATTCACGAAAACAGATCCCAATTATGGATTTTTCCACACAGACTAGGTAAGGTCCCACCATTCCATGATAGAATTTAAATATAGTTCTTCAGAACTATTTATTGAAACGCCATATGAAAAGTTTACAAGATAAAAATAAATTCAATAGAGTATCTTGCTTCAGGATGTACTTACAGAGAGAAGCATAGTGCATAAGAAAGAGCCAATAGCAATATCCCGACCAGATACTATTGGGCAACGCATCAGATATTCACAGATCAACAATGTCACAGGAGTCATAACTGGATGCCTGAAGTCAGAGCATGGAAATATCATGGACCATAAACGCAAGAGACACAACATCTTTGAAGAAGGCCAACAGCTACTTTCTGTGATAATAGAAAAATTTTAGACCATGTGTTATCTACCAATTCATAGTTCACAATAACTGTTAAGGCAAAGAATGCAACTATTCAACTACATTTCATCTTGACCTGAGTTCTTTATACTCTCAACAAATTGCTTTCTAGTACTTTCAATTCGGCGACGAGCACATATTGCAGCAAAGTATGGAATTTCCATACTCATCTCTATCAATGGTTTCACCAGCATGTTAAGTAACTCAACATTCAATGGTTTCGTATTTGCCAAAACAGCAAAATACTGCAATAATACTCCATAAAATACCTGAAAAAAAGAGAGAAATGTTATAAATACATCCAATAAAGTCAGACAAACAATGATAATAAACCACAATTTCCTGATAAATATATTTGGGAACAGAATGTAAAGGGAGAGGGGTATGATTTACTGTTCAGTGTTCATGCCCTTGTACTTTATTGTTCAGGTTGTTGTAAAGTTACATACTGTCCATTCTTCAGCGGCAAAAATATCAAACATCCTTATTTAATATATTATTTCAATCATACATTTTCTTTTTATTCAAGTTACCTAGAATTAGATCAATTCAAATTTCAAAGGGTTAGGATTTGTTTAGAAATTAGGTTTCAACCATATGTAAAGGGAATTGTTGTGATGTTCTTAATTAAAAAGCTTATTTTATGATTTTCCTGATTGTTAGCCAAGACACTAGCCCTCTGTTGGCTGTGTAGCACCTCTATTTGCCAATTATTTTCTCTCAACTTCTTTTAAGTGCTACAGATTTATTAGTATCAAATCTTTTCTGGAAGAATATTTTATCAGTAGACTGTAGGCAGCAACAAGAATAAAACCAACAAGAACCTATACTTTGCAATATAGATTTTTCATTAATTGTCAATACCAAACTCTACCCAAGTCCAAGAGATTGCACTTTAACTAATCACAGATAAAATGCAGCACAGGGAGAATATTTTAATCTTAGCAAAAAGTAAATAGAAAGGGAAGAGTTTCATACTTGCATTTTCTTTCGATTTTCTGCTGCAAATGTGATGGGATTGCTTTTCCGAATTCGATTGATAATCAAAAGAATGTCAGAATTTGAATATTTATCCACCAGAGAACAAAATTCTTCAAAGGTCTTGGGAGCTTGAATTATAAAAGGGATATCCAACTCTTTTGATTGTTTTCCTCCAACATCTGTCTTCTTGGCACCCAAAGAATCCTTATCTCTTTTCACATTTTCAACAGAATCCTTTTTCTTTGCCTTTATATGAACCCCAGCATCCAATCCTTTTACTCCATCTATTTCTACTGCATCTTCTATGTCCTCATCATTATCATCTTCGTCTTCTGTATCTGTACCAATATCATCATCATCACTTTGTTCCCAATCTTTCAAAGAAAGATCCTTCTCCTTTTCATCAAGATCCTCATCTGATCCCTCTTCAGCATCTTCAGAGCTACACAAATCATCAGAATCTTCACCATCATCATCTTCACTATCAGAATCTTCCTCATCTTTTCTTGCAAGAATCTCATCAACCCAACCCTTCTTAGTCACAGTTTCTTGATTGACAGAGAAGGAATCACCAAGATCATCCCCAGAGAGTGATCTTGGTTTCTGTTTGGATGGCTTTTCTGAATCTTCATTGTCTTCATCACTTGAATCTTCAGCAGCAATCATCCTCTTCTGCCTCTCTTCCTTAAATTATGAATAAAAGGATTAATTAGTTGACTCTATAAAAAATAAAGGGATATACAACTTTACTACAAGAGTAGATACTGGATAGCCTATTTCCATGACTCGAACCCACAACCACTAGGCTACAAGGCATAAAGTTTACTAAAGTGTCAAGGCTCACTCACACTCTAAAAATGATACAATATAATACTAAAATATAGATAATCATGAATTTAGTTTAGCTGTCCTAAGTTTATTCACATCCCTACAGTTAAGCCATAACAATAATCTAAACCATCCTAAACAGTAGCTAAGAAAATAGAGCTATGATCAGAGCTCAGCCAATGGTAAAAAATGTGGGAAACTGCTCCTTCATACATAATAGTAATATACTATAATAACAAACTTGTTTAAGTCATGTCCTCATACCTCCAATTGTTCTAGATGTTCTTTCTCCTCCTGAGCAATCTCTTCTGGTGTCTTTGTCCTATTTGAAGGGCGAGCTCGCATTTCCAATCCCATTTGTTTGACAAGTTTGTCATAATCATCAGGTTTTTCCTGCCATAAAAAAGGTAGTTGGAATGTAGTATGTTCTTATAATACAAGTAAGTTACCAGGGCCACAAAGAACCCTCATGGATAAAAAGTACCTGCACAAAAGTATCCAATGTGCGAGTAGCAGACAAGTGGTCCTTACTACTATGTTCATTTGAAATACTTTTGTTCACCAGAGCCTTCAAAGCATTCATCTTGTTGGGTTCAGTCAAAGATAACAGGGACTCAGAGTGAACCAAAGAAGTGAAGTTCCTATCCAATTCTTCCACTAAGTGTTCATTTTCTTCCTTGTCTTTTGCTTTTTGAGCCTGGAAAATATCAAGAGTGAAATTGAGAACAAATATAGAAGACAAATAAACTACCACAGCCCTGATCAAAGAAATATCCCACACCTTGTAAAATTTGCTTTTTAAGATGATTTCTTCCATCACTTCCTTCTTGCTTTTATGTCTCTGCAGAAGAAGCCACCGTTCAGAACCAGTTTCACGGTATTTTAAATACAGTACGAATAACAAAGAAGTTTAGCAAGGATAGGATATTAAGATCTCATAATCACCAAAGGAGGAAATTACTAGCAGATTATACAACCCATACATGATACATAACATCATGTATGCATAATCCCATGATAACAGGCAAAAATAATAAGGGTATCAATATTCATAGCATAACACCACTTACATTTTCCTCACCATCAACCGCACTGATTTCCTCTGGAATCCGCACACTACGGTGAACCAAATCCAATTTCTCTGCAAAACCAGCATTCAACATAAACCCAAGATACAAAAAATAACACAATAAGCATACTAAAATTGCCTAAAATGTTCATTATGTTACGATTGAAGCAAATTGCATGAGGCTATCATAGTAAGAAATAAAATAATCAAATCAGTCACAAAAATGCCGTTGAAAAGCAGCACAAGAAGTTATCCTGGAACTAAAATTGCAGAATGTCTAAAATAAGCCATTATTTCAGCACTCAAACCATCAATTACATTACATAATTACATTATCTCCCCAAACAATCATGCATTGTTAGCATACCATCAGTTTCATTAACATCATCCTCAGGAAGCATTTCATCCTCAAAATCATCTCTTCCAAGAGAATCAATTCCTTCAAAGTCATCTTCTTCTCCATCGGACAACTGATACTTGCTCTTCTTGCTCAGCTTCATGTTCACCTACAAACCCCCAAACATGAGAAAGAAACTTTCTAAATTTAGCCAAAGCAATGTTATAAGTCCTGTTCTTTTGTTAGTCCTGACTTTATAAAAAGGCTTTTATTTTAGGGTACGGTTCAATAACAGCTTAATTAAGTATTTATTCAATAAACTTTTATTACATGAAGAGTTTCTACCATAAATTTGACCATGAAATTTGTTGACATATCTAACGGACCAGCTTAGTTAGAGGCCAGCATGGAAAGAGAAAAGGACAAATTGGAGGGTAAAGGCCACATCAGCCTGCAAGGGAATTCAGAATTGATTATAGAGAAGGGACACACATCAGGTGATTCAAATATTCAGGGTTTGCACAGAAGCTCAAGGAAATAATAATGAACCCTCAGCTATGTTGTTTTGTGGAGTGAAAAGAAAATAATGCCTAAGGAGTGAAAGGAGAGGGTGTGTAGAACTTGATGCTTGTGGCCTCTTTTTCTCCTCCTCCTTATCTTTCTTATTCTTCTCCTGTGACTACTCTTTCACCTCTGTACTGGCTTGGTATCTGATGATGGGATAGCAAACATTTTCTTCCTTGTAAGAAAACCCGTTGAAATAACACTATGTATAGAGTACATTTTGTCTTTGTTACAGACTTGATTGTGGTTTATTTGAGTTCCTTACACCATAAGCTGAACATAGCTTATTTAGATAAACTATACGAAAACCCGTATTGGAATAAGCTGAAAAGAGCTTGTGAAAGTGATAAACCATTTTCATAAGCTCTGTATACACACTTCCAAATTCCAATTGCACCCTTTTTTTTTTTTCACTATCATTTTGCCTTAAAAGAAATTAAAGTAAACGTGATTTTGAAAATTTAGGAACTAACGAAGGATTGTTAAAAACTAAAATGGCTAACACGAACAAATTCAAAGACTAATATAAGGTTATACTTAAATAATAATAATAATAATAATAATAATAATAATAAAGAATAGAACCTGGCGTTCGCGTTGGGATCTCAAGATGGCTTTCCCGAACTCGTCAAGCGCGTGGTCTTTCTCACCGATTCGCTTATCGAGGAAGAGTGAGGACTTGGTGCTCTGTTGGTACTCTTTGAGGAGTGTGTCGTTGCGCTTCTGAATGGCGAGGGAACGAGAGAGGCCCATACGACGTGTCTCGCCATTGCGTTTCTGGCCGAGGACGTCGAATTTCCTTTTGGACCAGATGGACTCAAAGGGATTGTTGGCCTTCGGAGCCTTCACTTTCATAGCTACGCCTTCTGGACCCGACTTGTTGTTCTTCTTCTTCTTGCTCTTCTTCGATGGGTCGGTGCTGCTGCGTTTTGATGATTTCGCCATGGCTTTGCTTGCAAGCACACAGCCGAGGGTTTAGGGTTTACTATATTACTTTTGGGAACCGATGCATTATGGCAAATGCTCGATGCGCTTTTGAATTTTGTACGAATAGTATAATAATAATCTTCCAATCAATATTAAAACATAAATAAATTTTAATAATTAATGAAAAAAAAACTCTATGTTCAGATATTATAATTATACAAATTGTTTTAATAAAATATTGACTTAGAAATTCTAAGTCATTATTAAAATAATTAAATTTTAAATTATTAACTTAAATAATTTTAATTTTAGTTTAATGTTAAATTGTGATATATGGCATTAATACTACTAATATAACTTACATGAATTTGTATAATTATATTTATATTGTTATTACTTAATTAAATTTAAATAATAATTAATTTTAATATGATAAAAATAAAAAATAAAAATTTTGATTATTTTTCAAAATAAATTATATATAAAAAATAAATATAACAGTTAAACTTCATTTATATATTACTTTAAATATTTTAAATCTTAATAATAATAATTTAATTATAAATTAGTAAATATATTTCTGTATTATATGAATTTATTTATATTTTTTATTAAATTATTTTATTTTAAAACAAACAAAAAATTATAATTTAAATATAAAATATAATAATAAAATTTTATTATATTAAATAATATCAAATATAATTATATTTTATATATAATTTTTTTATATATTTTATATTTTTTCTTCCTCTTCAACAATAAAAATTGTTATTCTTTTAATTGATGTAAACATAAAAATAAAATTTTAAAAATAAACTAAAAATAAAACTAAAAATAAAAAAATTAATTATTTTTAAATATAAATAATAAAAAATTATTATATTATTATTGTTATTAAATATTTTAAAATAAAAAAACTATATATAGAAATGTAACAAAAAATATTTTTTAATAAACAATCAATTTTAGTATTATATTCAAAGTAAAATTTATTTGAATGAATTCTAATTTTTATTTTTTAAGAATTAAAATAAATATTAACATAAATTTATTTGATAAATTAGGTATAAAATAATTTATTTATGGTTTTAAAATATTATATTTAAATTTGACTTATAATAAGTGAATGTATACTAATAATTAATGATTCTAATTTAAAATATTTTTTAATTTTTAAATTAATAATAATTATAAGAATATGATATTATAAATAATTATATCAATACAAAAATATATATTTATCTTACTTTATATTTTAAGTATAATTTAATTTATAGTTGGAGAATGAATTTTAAGTTTATTATATGATTGAATATTACAAAAAAAAGTTAAAAGCATTCAAATTTTAATTCTAATTTAAAAAAATAACAATCACATAATTAAAATATAAAATATTAATAAATAAATATAGTTTGAAATGTTAATATTAAAATTATTGAAAAAATATTTTTTATAATATTTTAAAAATTACTTCATGACTTTATTTAATTGTAGATTTTTTTTTTCTAATTATAAGAGAAATATTTGAAACATGAAAGAAATATTAAAAAGTTGAAAAGCTATAATTTACTGTTAAAACAAATTATATATATATATAAAATAAAAATATATTCAACTTATTTTATATTTAAAATATTATAATTTATTTATTTATTCATTTATTATAGTATAAAAATATTAAATATGCAAATATAATAATTACAATAAAATTTTTAATAACAAATTTATATATTACCTTTTATTATAATGATATTTAATATTATTTAATTTATTGTAATTATTATAATTAATTACTTTTAAACTAAAATTTAAAGGTATAACTTAAAAAATAACAGTTCTCTTAAAATTTAATTAAAAAATAATTTTAATTAAAATATGAATAAAAATAATAATAAAATTTAAATTATCATATCACTATTTGAATTTGTCATAATCAAAATTTTATATAATTTTTTTGAAATTCTCGTATTTAAAAAAATTACAAATCTTATAATATTAATATTGTTGTGAATTTGTTATAATTAAAATTTTATATTAGTTTTATAAAATTCTTGTATTTAAAAAAAATATAAATTTTGTAATATTAATATTTTCAATAATATGTACATCATTTAAATCTTAATATTAAAATGACAATGAACAATTAAAAATTTAGTTAAAAAAATGAAAGTATTATTAATAGTTATCATAATAAAAAATATTAATATAATTTTTATACTCGAATAAATTTATAAAATAAGTAACATTTGATATGTCAATATTGACATAAATTTTTGTTAATCCAGATATAAAAATAAAAATATCACTTATAATACATACTTGACATAAATTTAATTAAATAAAATATAATGCATGATATCACTTTAAAATAATGCAATTTTATATTTACTCAATAAATAAAAAATACTTTTATGTAATTTACTGCAACAAAATAAAATATGATATATATATATATATATACTTGCTTAAACAAATGACTCTTGAAAAATTTACATTATTGTAATACACAAATACAAAGTAATATAATATAAAGAATTATTGACAATTTTTTAAGAGTTATGCAAAAATTACTTATTATATAAATGGAGATAAAGATATGTTTAATGATATATTACAAGATAAAAAAATTAATTTAATATATGTTATCTTTTCATCAATATTATAATTTATTTGTCTTTTTATTATAAAAATAATTTAATGATATATAATACAAAATTATAATTTTATAAGTGTGTAATTTTTTTATTTTAGATATATTTTAATTTTTAATACACTCTTTTAAATATTAAATATATTACACTAATTAATAAAATTATTTAAGTTAATACCATACAAATTTGAATAAAACATAAAACAACTTATATTATTTTATTTTAAATAAAATACTAATTTAAGAGGTTTATCAAAAATATTTTAGGTTATTTTTGAATGATTTTAAGTAATTTTTTATTTTCAAAATTTATGGTGAGTTTTTTCATTTTTTTATATAATCAAATTTAATAATTTTTTATTAAATATAATTTATTGCTAATTTGTTATTTTCATTCTTAATATTGTATAATTATCAATGTAAAATTTTTATATATAATTAATTTTAATAAATTTTTCTTAAATACAATTCAAATATAATAGTTATAAATCAATTATAATTTAAATTTCAAAATATGTGAAACATTGTAATTAATTCCAATAATTTTTTATTAAATATAATTTATAGTTAATTTATTGTTTTTATTTTTAATATACACCAACATCTATTTTAATAATATGTGTGAATAGAATTATATGTGACTTTAAATATTTCAAATTATATTACCAATAGTATATGTAACTTTGAGAATTCTAAAGTTTGATAAACGTAAATTTTGTTGTAAATGTAAATAATAATAAGTAGGTGTAGTAAATTTTATATAGATTTATTTATATGTTTTAATTAAATTTACTTATAAAAAATATTTTATAAATATTATAAAGATAATCAAAATTTAACAATATTATATTTTATTTATTATTAGTATATTTAAAATTTCTTTAAAAAATGTATTTATAACATGAGATTTTATTATTTTTTATAATTATTTTCTAAATATATTTTTAAATATTTTTATTTATAAATTTTAAAATATAACATAAATAATATATCAATTTTATGATATAATTTTAGATAATATAAATTTAGACTATTATAGATTAATTTAGTTAAAGAAATATTGATAAATTTGATATAATTTAATCAACTAAAATAAAATTTAATACATGATATCACTTTAAAATAGTGCAGTTTTATACTTACTCAACAAATTTAAATAAAATATATGAATATAATTTAATTAAAAAAATAACAAATATTAATATTAATAATATATGTATTTAATTAAATAAATAACTCTTAACCTTAACATGATTTTAAAAATATATAAATAAAGTAAAATGATAAAAAAAACTTTTAGAAAGTTTTTATAAGTTGTTTATAATAAAAAAATCATTTTTATTTAATTTATTTAATTTATCATAAATACAATTTAATAATTTACAACATAAAATAATAATTTAATAATATATAATATAAAACAGTAATTTAAATCAATACATTCAAATTTAAGAGTATCATACCAAGAACCTTGATTAAACATTGAATGCAAAGTGTTGGAAATAGAATAAATTGTCAAGGATAAAATAGGTAGAAAAGAATTTGGCTAGTAAAAATTTGCAAATTAGAAGTTAGAAAGAAGAAGTAAGTTGGAGTTAAGAGATCACGAGATAAAAGAAATGTTCTAGGGTAAGATGTATCATTTGTCTCATACTTGATCAATTTATAACCATTTGTTAATATTTATTAATTTAACAGTTACAACATAAATATACACTCTATCAATTCACATAGGTTGTATCAAAGTAAAAATCAAAACTAATAAAAATTAATCTGAGTGTCAAGCGGTTTGATATCGCTTAAGTAAGGTTTAAAGCAACATAATTAGATCCTCTCTAGCAAAAAATGTTTCCATCTTTTTCCAACATCAATCTCCTCCCTCCATTTATCATCAAATCTAAAACAAATATAAATCATACATGCTTTTTATTCAATCCATATTTTTGCACACTCAAGCCTAAAATTAATACAAAGAGAATAGTTAGACAATCTTATGCACGACTACCTTGATAGAATTTTCGTTGATTTAAAATTTATATACATTATAAATATTTAATTCAATAAAATAATTTTTCAAAAATTTATATTTTTGATAAAATACTTTCGTATAATATATGAGTTAAAAATACTAGTATTAATATATATATATATATATATATTAATTATATTATATTATTTTAATTAAATCTATTATTTTTCTTACAATTTTAAATTCAAAAGTTAAAAAAAAAAATTTATGTATCCACTTTCTATTGTTAATATTGAACTTCTCTACTCTAACTCTATTTCATTCTCAATGTTTGTCTCATTAAAACTTAACAACTATGAAACGTTATTCACTATAGTTAGTTGTCAATACCATCATAAGAGGTCACCAAGTGATCCCACACGCAGGGGCAACCATTATACAAATCTATTTCGTTGTCACTCTGACATTGTCAATCGATCAA